AAGAGCAATTGCAAAGACAACGACGTCAAGAGGAGTTGGAAGAGAAGCAACGTCAGGAGCAATTGCAAAAACAACGAAGTCAAGAAGAGTTGAAAATGAAGCAACGTCAAGAGAGACAACAACGTCGAGAGGAGTTGGAAAAAAAGCAACGTCAAGAGCAATTGCAAAGACAACGACGTCAAGAGGAGTTGGAAGAGAAGCAACGTCAGGAGCAATTGCAAAAACAACGACATCAAGAGGAGTTGGAAGAGAAGCAACGTCAGGAGCAATTGCAAAAACAACGAAGTTAAGAAGAGTTGAAATTGAAGCAACGTCAGGAGAGACAACAACGTCAAGAGGAGTTGGAAAAAAAGCAACGTCAAGAGCAATTGCAAAGACAACAACGTCAAGAGGAGTTGGAAAAGAATCAACGTCAAGAGCAATTGCAAAAACAACGACGTCTAGAATAATTAGAATAATTGCAAAGACAATGTATTTATTATAAGAATTATTATATCAAAAATCAATTACGACGATAATTTGAGCCAATAATCATTTTCACACGACAAAATATTTATATATATATATTTTTTTTATTATAATAAAGAAGCTTCTATGATTTAAATTGGATGTAATTTGTATATCAATATTTTATAATAAAAATTGTTCATTGATCATTCTGTTTAACTTGGCTGTTAAAGAACGTCTAATCTATCATGTATTTGGGATATAAACAAAATGTCTAATACATATTATAGATTACGATACAACGCTTTATGAACAAAATATGTGGATCTATGGCATCGAATCATACTGAACTGACCAATATTTTGTCAATATACGTCGTTGAGGCAACACTTGATTTTTATTAAATTAATTCTTATATAATATTCACCCTCCCTTCATTTATTACAATACAAATAAGACTATATTTTATAATTTATATTAAAATGACAATTATAGAAAATTGATAATTTTTTTAAGATATCTTCAGAAGATAACTCCGGTGTTGAATTAGTAAAAATTGAAGAAATATTTGAAATATTTACACTTTACTTATTTTATCAGTAATAACTGACGTTCTAGCACTAATTAAATAATCCATGGTAACAAGAACTTGTTTTTTATTTTCTTCTTTATTTTGTTAAAGATTTATCGGCAAGAATAGTTATTGGCACATTTCAATCGTTTGTCTATGATATACATTATTGTTATTAACTAATTCTCTTATTCATAGTGGCACGTGATGATGTATTTCTAATTCAAACGAGTGTATTTATGGTATTTATAAATTTTAGTTTCGATCGAAATTATCTAATTATCTGCATGGCGAGTAATGTAATTGTTTAAATAAATTAATCAATTAATAATATAACAAAAGTTTTAATTTACGGTTTAAATTTACGCGATTTTCGTAATGCAAAAATAAGAAATCTCAAGCATGGCATGGTTTTCTTAGTGATTGTTGAGTTGGACAAAAAGTCGAAATTTATCTTGCACAACTACACCATTGTGTTACGTCAGATCGCGGCCAAATATTATTAAGTACATTTTAAGAATCGTTGTGAATCGATCACTAGACAATTCACATCGCCTTGCGGTTTATTAGATGAAGATTTTCTTTAACGTAAGCAGAAATTTCGATTCTTGTTGCATACACGATCTATTATGGTTTCTTAATAAAAGATGTTGGTCGCATGCTTTCAATTTACTATCAGTAGGACAAACGATATTTCGAGGCTTATGTGATCGTGTACTAGTAGTACCTTTCTCTTAATTTGCATGGTAGCCATAAATGTTTGGGTTAGCGATTACACGATATTAGTGAGATTTATAGTTCTCGATTTATTTATTTTTTTCTTATTATCAACAGTTATACATATGTATATTCGTTCATATTATGTTTTTTCTACCTTTATTTTAGTTTGTTTTCTTTACTAATCAAGTTTCCTAGTTAATATTTATTTTTTTTTATGTTCATTATTCGTTATTTTCTATATGTATGTTATGACTTCATTTCTTAAATAAAGATAATTTCACGAATAATTATAAAATTAAGGCTTATTTTATAAAAATCATTTAATAAGTCACAAACAAAATCAAAACCATCGCTCTTTTTAAAACCATCGTTTTTTCAGTTAGGTAAACTAACACATATATAGTAGTAGTTACTAAATACATGTTAAATACACTTTGATAGATATATATGTTAAAAATATTATTACAAAGATCGTGAAACAAAGTCACAAAAATTTTCCTAATTAAATAAAGATAATTTTATAGTTATTAGTATTCTTCTGTACTAATATCATGGTTTTAGCGTATTTATATTGTATATATAATGTAATAATTTATAAATTTCAAAATCTTGAAATATTTAAAAATCGGGTCAAAATGTTTATAATGACATATACAAAACTACCAATTTGCATATTCTTGGAATTACATATTAATTACGATATTTTTAATATTTTTTTATTTTACGAAACACTATTTTATATTCTGAAAGAAATTCAACTCAAATGATGCCTTAAGGGCGAAGATAAAAGAAAGAAATTTATCACTGCGCCTCGACCCCCTTTCAAAGAACAAAAATCTTTATTGTAAACAAAACTTCGATTTTTTTTTATTATGTAAATAAAAAGATGTAGAATGAACCTTTAACTCATGCATGTTTATATAAGAACGTTGGAAATCTCCAAACCTCATTTAATAACTTAAAAATTAAAAAACTTAATTTGTAGATAAGTTCAATCCAGCACAAAGAAGTAATTTTTGGAATTCTTTTCGTGCCAAATATTCATCTAACCTAAATCTGATATTAGAACTGGAATGAAACCAAAACCAAGCTAAATAAACAAATATCTTAATAACTCAAATATCTAAAAGGCCTTTGCTAAGGAAATAAATAAACAAAACGATTTTATTATGATTCGCTTGTGTAGTTAGTTATCACGATCAAATCCTTGTATGAAGACAAGAAGAAGGTTGAAAGTGTAAAATAGTAACTTTATTAAAACTGTAGAGCTATAAGTCTAGTTCCAAGACTTATATCCAAAAACTTCTTTGTAATAACTATGTCGACTTAAGGTAAACTGGTAGGTATAAGAATGCTAACTAGTGCTATGTTTTTTAATAATGATAAATAATACAAATAATGAAAAATTACTTATGCTAGATAAGTAAGATTAGTAATGAAAAAATATTCTGTAAAATAACCTAAACGTTGCATGCTAAGATAGTCTTGTATCACATGACATTTGGTAATCTGAAGCACGATTTGCAGCTAACACTGGTTAGATAAAAAATTAATTCAGAAGGCGCAGGTTTATCGCGCATGTATTGTTATATTTTGAAAAGTTTTATTGGAATTTCGCGGTGACTTATTCGTGTTGCATCCTTCAAGAAGTAAGGAGTAAGCGAAAGTTTTTTCTATAGTTTCTGTTTGATCGTTTCGGGCACTAGCAATAGAAAATAAATATAATGAATTATAATTTTTAAAATTCTTTAGAAAGATATATTTTTACACATTTTAAAAAAAATTGAAAGGACAGAATAGACTCCATAGTGTGTCAAAAAAAGAAATACAGTCAATTCTTGATATAGTAAACTCTTGATACAATGAATTTTTTGAACAAATATAATAAAAATACTCTTGTTATAGTGAATTGACTAATCAAATCTCTTAAAATCTTCACTATAGCCTTATAGCGAAGTTGAGGTCTAAAACATAGAGTTCGTTATAACAAGCATTGACTGTATAGGAAAATAGCAATCATGGAATTAATTTATATAGTTTTATTTGATATTTATTACTTTGCGTGAATTTGATCCGGTTGAAAGCTTATGGAATTTTTTTATATATGTTCTTGAATTATAACCTTAATAAACTGAATGTTCCTTATACTTTTATATATTTATCTTTATCCCATAACATCAAGTTTAATTTGAATCCTTTCTTAATGTCCTACGAAAGCATTCAAAACCTTTAATTGTTTTAAATTAGAAGGTTCAATTTTATTTACCTCAAACCTATTTATCCATGTTAAAACCATTACCAAATTTAATCGCGCTCAATCTTAGGATTGTGCTCACTTCTGCCAGGGATGATTCACGAGAAATTATGACGATTACTTTGGATAGTTTAGATACTTGCTATTTGTTCAACTTTACAAATTTTCATAAAGAATTTGAGCGCTTTGCTGTAGAAAGGTAGAAAATGACGAAAAAAACAAATTTTTTTGATTTAATGTTAAATCTGAAAGTTTACTACTGCCCTAGCGTCACGCTGAAAAATGGTAAACAGATTTTATTTGCTGTGTCACATACTTATTAGGGATGTCGTCTATTGTGACAATTAGCATTTTTCTCGCAAAAAAAAATTTCCAAGTCCCTAGATACTTAGTAAATTGAAGAACGGCTGGGATATGACATGATGTTAACTAATCCTATTCTACCATAATTCTAATTCTAATCTAAACCCTAACACTAATACCAATAAAATGCTTTTTCTAAATTTATATCTGTCCCTTTACTATTTTCATAACATAAAGCTGTGGAAAGGCACTTACCATCTCGTTCTTGTGCAATAAATTAAACATTGCATCAATATAATTATTTTCTGCAGCTTTTGAAACCAATAAATTACTTTTCTAAATTTACAAATTTACTCCAGTTCCTTTACCATCTTTATTGAATAATGCTAAATTAAACATTGCTAAATTATTATGATTTTCTGATGCTTTTTGATACTGAAAAAATGCTTTTCCTAAATTTATTTCTGCTCCTTTACCATATTTATAATAGAAAGCTAAATTATACATTGTATTAATATTACCATTTTTTGCAGATTTTTGATACCAATAAAATGCTTTTTCTAAATTTACATTTGTTCTTTTGCCATCTTTTAACATAATGCTAAATTAAACATTGTTAAATTATTATAATTTTCTGCAGCCTTCTGATACCAATAAAATGCTTTTTCTAAATTTACATTTGTTCCTTTGCCATCTTTTAACATAAGGCTAAATTAAATATTGCTTTATTAACATTATTTTCCACAGCCTTCTGATACCAATAAAATGCTTTTTCTAAATTTACATTTGTTCATTTGCCATCTTTTAACATAATGCTAAATTAAACATTGCTAAATTATTATGATTTTCTGATGCTTTTTGATACCAATAAAATGCTTTTTCTAAATTTACATGTTTCTTTACCAGATTCATAGCATAAAACTAAATTAAATATTGCATTAAAATCATCATTTTCAACAGCTTTTTGATACCAATAAAATGCTTTTGCTAAATTTATATCTGTTCCTTTACCATCTTCATAACATAAAGCTAAACTAATTATTACATTAATATAATCATTTTCTGCAGCTTTTTGATACCATTTTCATAACATAATGCTAAATTATGCATTGCATTATTAAATCCATTATCTGCAGCTTATTGAAACCAATAAAATGCCATTTTTAAATCCATATCAGTTTTTTTACCATAGTAATATATATTGCCAATTTCATATTGAGCACAAATATTTCCATTTTGACTTGCTTTTTGCATCCAAAATATTTCTAAATCATAATTGATTCCAAATACATTTTTATAACATCTACTTAAGTATACTTGCGAAATAGGATATCTTTCAGCTGCCTTCATTATAATTTTTATCTAAGTTGAGCATATTGTAATGAGCAAAAATTCCGAGGAAGAAAACATTCTTTAATTCATTTTGATTTTCTTTAAACCAGTTTAAAATATCTTCAGTTGATCGAGTAGAAAGAGTAATGCATTTATTGAGAAAATTTTTATAATCTTTACCTTCATTTTATAAATAATTTATCTACTAAATCGTTCATATTATCCGTTGAATTATTCGTTTCTAAAATATATAGGCATTCATCATGTATTGTTACTGTTTCTGTCATTGCTTGTATTTAAAAGTAAAAAATATGTTTAATTATATAAGGTGACGAAAAAATTGGGGGAGGGATTTTTATATATCAAAAATCTGGATGCATAACTGGAATTTCGGAATTATTTCTCTGAAAGTACATTACATCATCATATGTATGTCATGAGAATTTCTATGCAGATCAGTTCCATTTAGAAATAATTTTGGTCCTATTTGTTAATGACGTTTTCCGACTGTCACATTTTGTGTCTCAAAAATATGAGGAATTCCCACAGCTCAAATCTTTTATTTAAAATATTTAGATGCATTATAACATAACGTATTAAAGAATTTGCTCCAAATATGACAAATTAATTGTCACCAAAACGAATTTGATCAATTTTTTGAATATTAATTCGTAACCAATGGTTTCGGTAATTACTGCGGTCTTATTTTTCTTACCCGAAATTTGATAATCTACTGTATTATGGTCAATGAAAAAAAATTGGTTACGCAGGAGATTTTTATGAGGATACTAAGGGAGGAATGGGATGCAATCGATGAAACTTATGTATTAATCTCGTAAGATCTATGCCAAGGTGTTTAGAAATAGTAGTAGAAAGCTAAGGTCACACGATAAATTATTGAAATTTTTATATTGTTTAATTTTAAAATTTGGGATTTTTTTTTTAATAAAAGCCGGGCGAGATATTTGCCAATTTGTAAATTTGTAATTGTCAGTTTTTTTCCGCCAGAACTGTAATACATTTTATGATGTTATAATTTTAATTTTTCATTCCGATCATACTAATTTGAAAACAAATGAATCAAGTAAATATTACTTTTTGTGAGACGTAAATCTGCAGTTTCAATGTAATAGCTTAATAAAGCTTACATTACATAGAATATAGGAGGGTTTCTAGGAAAATCGGGTTCCGAGAAATTTTTGACTAAAATTAAGAGCTTAATACATTTTAATCTAATAACATCAAAAACTAAAATGCAATAAAAATCTCAATTTTGCTAAAAAATTCCCGAAACCCGATTTTCCTAACAATCAACCAATATATTCTGTTGAAACCTGTATGATATGTAGTATAAAATTTATCATCAGTTGGAATCATTGTAAAATAAATTTCCTTTAAAGTGATCTTCCCAGATCTTTTTATTGATGCATCTAGATCTTTTTTTTCAGGATCCCGCCCGTGAAAGATGAATGACCGAATGACGAAATGTGCGATTACTAAAATTATCAACGTATCTCTAAGGAAAATTCGATTAAATAATAAATGACGAGCGAAAAGGACTTTCTTTCTTTATTTAAAAATGATTTGTCTGTCGCGCAGCTCATGATTCTAAAAAAAGATGGCGTCTTCATACCAAGTTCTATATTCCGCTTTACTCTTCGTTTTATTTATATACTCCAGATGAACTTATCAACGGTCATTTATTTCAACTCAAACCGCCATTTCGTTTAATATAAACCTATGAGCTATCCCGATAAAACTGAATTAGTACAATTACATTTGAACACTAGACATGGAAAATATTAACTAGCTTGAGTGCAAATTAAATCATAAAGTAACCTGCATTAAAACAATTATTAGGATCGAGGTATCCTGAACCAGGGAAAATCATTTCTTTCAATAAGTTGGAAAATATTTTCCAATGTTCATATCGCAGAAAATTGGGTAAATAAAAATATATATATATTTGTTCTGCTTATTATTTATTTAAAATTACATCCTTTTTAGTATAAAAACCTCTTTCTAGCGTGGAAAGCTCTTAAATCGATCAAACGAGGAGAACTCGAACCTTATTACGATGGAATACAAAGTTGTAAAGATACGCAAAATTTTGGAAATGAATTCGAATGTGATCTCAATGTTATTAAATTTCAAAGTACTGACACTTCAAGGTACGATTTAAATGAAAAATATTATTTCCAATGTTTTAAACGCATCGGTGCGTCAGAATGGCATTTGCTGAAGGATTATTCTATGGTAAGGGTCCTTTGGACACGTGTAAAAGCCAACCTGTATTCATTTCGTCTTTACCGGTCGTAAGTTTCTTATTTATTTTTCTTGCTACGTTACGTTATTTGTAAAATATATATTTTATATTTATTTTATTTTATTTTTTTTTAAAAAAAAAACTTATAATGCTCTTTATATAGCATCTTGATTATGTGTTACAGCCTGTCCACATTGAATACAAACCGTTTCAAATAATAATTATTACTTAGCGCAAGCTTATACCTTGGCAAGAGCGTATTTCCAAAGAATACAACATCAGTCTTGACCCATATTTAATGCGAATTTAGGTCGTTCATTTAATCGAACTGACATGTGGTATACATTATTCAGCCCTAAAGAACGTTTATTATTACGATATAATTTGAATATTTACCACTATTATGTTATCCAATACGGTCACCCTTTTAACAAGCGATTGGGTTGTGTCTATCTTACTCAACTCGTTACTGGAGTTGATGATTTTTTAAATGGGAAGTCTTATATGCTTGCTGATATAAAGAATACCCATAGTTATTTAATAATTGCGCTGTTTCACTTCATTGATATGTGAATTTCCTTTTTTTTCATTTTATTATTCTATTTGAATTTTTTTATTTCTTTTTTGATAATAATATTCAGGTAATATTTAAAGAGAAATACCCTCACACGGCAGATTTACAATATGTAAAGATTAAAGAAGTTAAATTTACGGAATTCGAATCTTTTCCCTGGTATTCCGCGGTTTATTTCGAAATTTATGCTTGTCAAATAATGATACAAATGATATTGAACTTTAAACCGATGTTCAAATTGGGTGCGATCTTCAAAAGGAGTGCGTTTCCCTTAAATAGGATGATTTGAAGTGAAAGATAAATAAAATGATCAGAATTCCTATTTTATAATGTGTATAAATACTTTATTATAAATGAGTAATTATGTTTCTCTTTATCATTTTTTTATTTTAAAAAAAATCAAAATAAATAAAAAAATTTTTTCTTAATAAAATCAGAAAGATCAAAAATAAAAGTGGTTTACAATTAATTACAAAAAGCACGAATTAAACGGTTTTATATACATCAGAATTTAAATAGAAACTCAAAATTTATAATGGAATTTATAATGTCGCGCTACAAGTGGAATTGAGAAAAGCGCCAAATAATATATTTTGGTTTGAAACATTTATGTTACGTGAAAATCCTCATTTGACGCAATTCAAAAAAAAAAAGAAATATTGAAATAATGATTATTTGTTTTTTTCTGGTGGAATTATATCAATGTAACAATATACTATAAATTTTAAACAAAAGACAAGGTAACTTTCTTACCCAATGGGTTACAAATGATTCTTAAATTGATAAGGGGAATTTAGATGATTATATCTTATTAATTGGATCCTTACATTTTCTCTTTAAAATTAAATTTACGTCAGAAAAAAATTACTAAAAATTTGTCAAACTTGTGAAGTAATTGGTCGAAATTATAAAAGATATTTCTTCCATCCGAAGACTTAATGATGTATATTATTATAATTTCAAACGTTTTTGCATCAAACCCGGACTGGGAAACTTCATAATATATACTTCATTGTTTAAACTGTTAAAACTCAACAATTGAGATTGTTCATTTCAAAAAAAAAAAAAATATAATTGTTTATAAAAGAAATCACTTAAAGTATATAATTATAGTAGCAGTTCATGAATAAATTTGATAATAAGGAGCAATAATATTTATTTGATTCAAACGTAAACGTATGACTTCGTGTTATAAAAAAACAATTTATAATCATTTTCAACAAGTGTTGATCAATCAGTTTTTAAGGTAGGATGTTAAACTTTCCAAGCTGCAGTCCTATACGAAGCTGTAATACAATATGAAGGAGTCTTGAGACGCCTTCTATACTAGTCTATTCATCACTTACTGAGCATAAAGGATTGTTTCCATGATAGAAGTGACGCTTCTTTACACTTGTCTTGCCTCCTTGAAAAGTTAAAATCTCAAAATAAATTATCTTTAAGAGATTTACTTTATTTCAAGCGGTTAAACATTGCCAGAATAGCAGATAATATGCGAAATGGTATTGTTATTTTAATGATTGCTAAATAATATGAACCGTTGTTAATCATGAACTTCATTTCTCGTAAATTAAAAATATTTTTTGTACTACATGGATGTAGGACTAAGAAAAAATCATGAATTTTAGTAAATAAAACAATTTCAAATGTAAGTTTTACTATGTTTTTATTGTTTAACAGTAATCATAGCAATACTTAATAAATAATGTAACTTATCTGACAAATTTCATATGTAATTTTTATTTTTTTTTGCTGATATTACATATACATGTACAACCTATTTATTAATCTATCGGAAAAGTTCTTTTAAAGTGTAAATAAAATATTGGTCGAAATTTCCAGATATATTAAAAGTCAATACATATCGTAGAGCAAAAGTGAAGCATTATCCTTTATGTTCTTATGACATTTTTTGATTTGACGATTTTCTGCTAAAATCACGTTTCAGATAATGTGAATTACTATATTCGTTGTGAATATTATCATTTAGTCGTAACTAAAAAATATTCAAGTTTCCTCAATTTAAACTTTTTTATATTTTAAGGTTATTGCTTATTCCGAGACGATTCGACCGGCTTGATATATTAAATATAAAAAAACCGAAAATATAGTTCATTATGTCGCTGTGGCCTGTAAGAATCGAACCCGAAGTAAATTTCAAAAATTCAGAGAAAAATACTTTGCAATTATTTTTTTTTTGGTAATAATTAAAATTTTCTTCTTTTTGATGATTGGCCGCTTCAAATGGTGATCGAAAAAATCGCTGCGCCACCATGTTTTTTATAATTTTAGCGAGATTTACCAGCCATAAAAAAAATCGATTAATCAAAATTGTAAATCGAATATTAGAATCGAAGCTCGAGAAATGATTATTGCGAATAATAGATAAATTTGATGCTTCTTTATTGAATTGATTCAATTCATTCTTTATAAACGCGGTATTTAGTTAAGGGGTTATAATTCGTTTTAGAAAAGCGACATTGTTTATCATTGACAACTGAAACGTTCTACTTCTTTTATAATATTTTTTATAAGAAAATTTATTCTAAGTAAAATCTACAAACTTTAATTTTCTGTAACAGAATTTTTTCATAAAGTAAGTTGAACATTAATGAAGTAATAAAGTGATCAGATTGACAAAGACTTCTGCAAAAAGCACCTTTCATTCCTGATGAAAATTAACTCGACAACTACCCCCATACTGCGTATTGATATATTTTGTATATTTTCTTGATTCATTAGTCTAGTATTAGATTTCTCTATGACTGAAATATTCGTTGTTAGTTAAATTTGTTAATAAAAAGTTTGCCTTGTTGAATGATAAGGAACAAAGTCAAGCTTGAAATCTTAAAAAAAAATAATAAAAAAAAATTTAATCTTTTAAAACAAACCATAAATTGCTTGTTTACGATCAACAGATCGAATATTATTCGTGATTTTCATTTGAACAACTATATTATTCACAATAAGCGCTTTTCCATTTACTATGCTTATTTAAATTTTTATCTTTAAATTAAAATAGGTTATTAAAAACAAGTGCATATTGGATATATACTTTTTATTCTGTAAGTACTAGGTCGGGGCGTAGAATTATCAATCGAAGACCAGTATAGATCCATATATCAAATTTAAACGACGCGTTAAATATTAAATCAATGTAAAAAAAAAAATTATTTGCTTCTCCACGTAAGCTTATTTATTAGCAACAATTATTCGAATTGAGAAATATATTTTTTATTTTAGAACCTCAACAGTAGTAAAATCAGATTGACCAAGGTATTATTCGCTTATTATACATTCACATCTCTTATTCATATGATGAGTTCTGATTGCGAAAAGGAAAGAAATTTATAATTTATTTAATCTTAAATTCCTGAATTATCAGTCATATTTTCAATATCTCTGTTATTATACCAGTCGAAAATATCCTCATAAGGTTCAAAAGTCCGATATTGGTATTTAATGAAAAAGTGTTTAGCAATAAAAACAGCATTTATACCATAACCTGACATTAAAGTCTTTCATAATTCTTCTGTGGTGGTTGTGGCCGGAACATAATCGTATCCAGTCATTGGACGGCAGAGTCAACTCTATTTTTAAATGCAGAGTCATGATTAATCAGAACATCGTAAAACTCTCAATTAAATAAAAGTTTCAAATTGGGATGGGACTTTTGACAACTTTAATTCTGGTTAAATCTTTATGATACAGTAATTTCAGTCAAAATGCAAAGTAATGATTGCTAATTTCAAATAAGAGACGCAAAATAGTTAACTGTGACTGCGTCATTTCAAGAAGAGATTTAGATGGTAAACTTATATATTTGAGTGATGAGTCTGAATCATAGGAAATATAATCAAAGATAAAGGTTTCTCCTAACTAAGAGGAATTTTTTTTTAACAATCATACGTAATAAAAGATGTAATTGCCTCAATAATTGCATTTTACAAATACAAAAAGTTTTAAGTCGAACAATATTTATACAATTTCTGCTAATGACTTTGAATTCAAATCTATAAATTAGTGATAAAGATATTCCATAATCCATCTGACACGTCTTCCTTTTGGCATCCTGGAAATGTCCATCGAAACAACGTAACATATTATGGACCTGGTAAAGGACATTATATTGAAAACAAATAAATTAATAAGAAGCAACGTATATACAAGTATGAAGTATCTAAAACCTTTTCATTGAAAGAGTTTCATAAATTGCTAATTACAAGGTGGATCAAAATCACAAAATGATGGTGGGCATGGGCATGCTTCCCTTTTCACCAAGGGTGAGTGATTTACACTAGAAGGAACTGAAAAAACAACATTACTGAAGGCTGAAATTACGATAAGCATGAAAATGTGAATTTTCATGATGACTTTGGAAGTATTTGAAGGATTAATGTTTTATAAAATGTGAAAATTATAAACAGATTCTGTGGAAAATGTAACTTAAAGATGTGTATTTATAAGCAAATCAGATTAGATTTACAATTTAAATTATTTGATGTCTATTGACAATGTGATAACAAAATTTCCCCACTTTATATAGTTTTTTTAAGGCTTAATGGGCTTATACATAAAATCTTTGTATTTGCTTGCTATAGATGCTCATAAAGAGCGTTACAACCCTTACAACCTCTCAAATGCTGTAATAAATTTTTGCAACCAATTACACCATTGTAAATCCTAAATATAATCGATTAGGAAAATTTTAAGCCATTGTATATATACAATGAATATAATTCTGCCTACAGACGATAATTTGTTCAATGTTAATTTTAGTTAGACTATGAAGTTCAATTCCGAACAGGGATATTGGTGTTGTAATGGCATTGTTTGCTGTAACTAAGCCAAGTGGCTTTGGAAAATATAAGCCAAAAGGCTTTTGTAATGTACCTAAGCCATATGTTAATAATTCAAATTACTTTTTTATTTCAATAGCAAATTATTCAATTCGATATGTATTAAATAATTAAATAATGGATACTATTATGTCTCATCTAATATAATACCGCCTGATTTACGATTATAAATTACTTTTTATAATTGTATTTGTAGATCATTCTTTGACCAGGCGATATGCCAGGATTAGAGGCGTGCAACGGGACAGGTCCAGGACGGCAAATAATAAGTTTAGAATTTCTGGGCCAGGTCCGGGTTCAAGGTACCAGCCCGGATTTTTTTTATAATTTTGGTAAAAATCGTTATTTAATTAAAATTTAGCCACTGATTGTATTTGCATAATAATTTATTTTAAATTGCTGTAAACAATGGTAGCATTTCTATATTGCTTTTTATTAATCTTTTTTGTTTATTTATTATAATAAATATTTGGGAGGTTTGCTATTAAAATCACGTTATGGATCACATGATTTACTATGTTCACAACTCGATTTTAATAGCAACCCTCCCATTTGTTACTGCACTAAAAAAAAAATTTTAATACTTGTCGTGTACAACTTTGCTTTAGCAAGAAGATGCAGAAATAAAAAAAATAGTTTGTTGAAAGAATATTTTGATCATGGCAAAATAGTTAGAAATAATTGGTAGTTGTCATTAGGTAGTATTCCTATTTTCTCAAATCCGAAGCATCAGAGGAATCTTATTAGATAGTATTTTCTGTTGATGAATTTAGAGATTTGAACTGGCTAAAAATTCTTTAACCGGTTAAAAAAATCTTTAGCCAGTTAACATGTTAACCGTTTTAATTGGTTAAAAATTAACCAGTTACAACCTCAAGTTGAATTGAAGATTTGATATCACCAAGCATTCTCATACATCCTTGAAATAATTCTATCTGAAATGGGAAACGTCTCCATGTATAATGAATCATTCAATGTGATTATAATATATTTTTCAAAGTCTAATTAATCTTCACGCAAATTCCATTTCGATTACTTTTAAATCATAATTTTATCATGACCACGTCCAACATCAAAATTGCTATAGCTATTTTGGAGAATCTCATCAACTTATTTGTAATTTTTAGCTTGATCAATTCTAAGGAATTAAATGTAACAAGTATAATTAGCTTTATACGCTTCTGATGATGACAATGATGATGTAATAGTGTTTTCCTGATCAAAATAAGACCCTTCCAAAAATTTAAGTGCTTATGTTGATCTGTTAGGAATAATTTATACTTCTAGTAAGAAATCATTTTGTAATTCAATCAAAAGTTGCAAAATAGCGCAAAGATTTACGACGTAATCCTTTGGCTCGACTAATGTGAGATGGTTTTGAAGCACGTGACACCGGAAATTAACTACATCACAAATACCGAATTCAATGCTACAACAAAGTCTTTGAAATTTGAAGTTAATCTTTCTCTAGTTTCTCAACATTGAAACAATCGTCTATAAACTGCTCAAATGTTAGTTTTTTTGCTCTTACGCGACTCACGCGATAACCAAGATACGATGATATTATTTGAACAAAATTCACTATTGGCCAAAGGAATTTTACTATTTTTGATTTATCAAAAATTTAAAGAATATCGAAAACTTCCCAAGTAAAACATTGTAACAAAAAAAATACATGCTATTTTTGTAATTTGTTAAATAAAATGAATAACATTAGAAATTCTGCTAAGGAGTCATCACTTCAGTTCAAGAAAGATTTTGATCAAGAGAACAATATATTGAATTTCGTGAATTTGCTATGTGATGAAAATATCAGTACAATGGGTGATTAGTAAGTATCAAATATTTTTTTTTATTTTGAAAAAAAAAAAATTATACATTTAGTACTTTGCGGAAGAATATACTGTGTATAAAAGGTGATAAGTTATAAAATTTTTAAATGATTAATGGCAAGAGCTATTAACACATTTTATTTTCAGTTTATAAATTACACTCTTTTGATTATTGGTTGATAACTCTTTTTTATCCAGAAATGAGCTTGAAATAATTAAACCAAGACAACTTCAAATAACAATTTATGAGATATCAATAGATACCTTTCATCTACATAATGAAAAGTTTATATCCTAAATCTAACTTTGATTTCAAATAATTATTTTTGTAAATACGGCCGTTACTTTTCAAATTGATCTTGAAATTTATGATTTCAGGTAAAAAATTTAATCTTAATTTAATCTTTTTTTTTCTTGCCTGACAATATTTATAAATCACAGAAAAATATCTCAATTTGATAATCGCAAATTTCTACTTGTGCTTTAAGATAAAAAAAAAACCAAAAATTTGAGATATTTCAACGGTTAGCAAATAATTTCAAATCACATTTAAATCATTTAATACAACTTTGAATACATATGAAGATGTATTTATTGCAATTCATGAACCTAAAAGGTCAATCGTTATATATAGTACAAAATAAGCTTTAGAATGCTAAATGTTTCTTGGAATCTTATTGTATTATAATTTTAAGAAAACATAAATAATTAAAATTTTTTTAAAATAGTTGAATGTATTTCTTTTAATGATGAACAAAACACATTTATATACACGAGATTTAAATTTCCAGTTATGACAACATTATCCCAAATCTTCAGCATTTAATTTATTAAAGATACCGAGAATTCTGCTAATTGAGCAAGGTGGTCGGGCACGTATTTTCTATCTTAAAACGCAATATTCGATGGAAAACGACAAACCGCTGGTCGAAATTGCTTGTATCTAAGTTCTGCCGATGGATCATATATTATAGCGCTTGTAAAAGAAATATTGGAGTATAATTTCCTGTTGGGCATGTTGCGCAAATTTTGGCGGTTCAGTTAATAAAGGTAATATATTATTTATAAAACGGACGGCAATTTTTTTTTTGATAAATTAATGCCTTACGTTTTTTTAAGTTGTTGACTTACCATCAGCTTTTAAATCCTTGGAATGCTTTCAATTTATTTGAATTAATAAGTTAGAAACAATCTTGATGTTACTTGGTTTACAAATGGATGTTTTAATTCCTCAATAATTAAAATTACTCTCGAAATTCTTGAACGAGTGAAAATAAATGGTAGTTATATTAGGAGAGAATACACGCTTTAAAAATATTGAGAAAAATTTAGATTGTTTGAAGTTCTTTTTGACACAAAGTTAATAATTGTTGGTAATGTAGAATTCCGCGTTGAACCAAAAACAAATTTAAATGGTCTTATCGATGTCTATAATAGATAAAATTTTTTATCCTTTTCTCTTCTAGAATCATGCATGATTTATTTTACTGTATCTGTTAAATTTTTAAATAAATTATCTCATAATTAATGGTTATTGAAGTAATATCTTTTATATTATCAGAGTGGGAAATTTTCTTGTGGTACTATGTACCTTTTAAGCATTGAGACTAGTGATTTCTAAGAGAATAATTCTGCGATCAATTCCATCAACTGAGAAATCCTTAATAAATAGTACATAATGAAATAATAGTGGATTTGAAGTCGGAATTGAATTAATTATTCTCATTCTTGTATAGAATTGCTTTTGAATCATCAGAAAGGCAAGCGCGATTTATTACATAAAATTTGATCCTTAAAAAGGAATTTCCTAATTATTTATCGTTATTCAATTAAAATGATTCAACAAAATAAAGAATTTAATAATTATGCCAAATTAATATTAGTTATTTTAATTTGTTTATTCCTTTAGTTTTTATTTTTTTCCTTGGCAGAAAATGTCGAGCTTTATCTTGACAAACAAAAACTATTCATAAAACTGTCAGTTTTATAAAATCTTCAAAAATATGAAAAAAATATATTTGAAACAACTATTAAAAAGTGGTAATAAAAGAAATAAGAAAAAATATCAAATAATTATTATCGAAAGGCATAAATGTCAATACCATCATGAACTTTAGCTTCTGATTTTCCATGAAAAATTTTTTATATACATTCCGATCTTACCAAATATATAAAAAAATGCAGATATAGAATAATTTCTGATTGTACTCCAAATAATATTGAGTCAAATTGCCGCATTTCGTATCAATTTTTAAATTAGAACGTAAAAATTAATTTAAATATATAAAATTATAAAAAGGAATCTATTTCTAAACATTATATCTTGATCATAATCAAATAATATTATAAATTATTATTATGTAAATTAGAAGTATTACCGGAAATTCTAATAATTTCATTATGTTTTCGCTTTTGGTACCATTTATAGCAAAGGATTCCAATCAACATAACAATTGCGGTACATAAAATTCCACTTATTGCAGCAATTATTGTATTTTTTTGACCATCAGTAATTTTTTGAGAAGCCGAAGCAGTTGTAGTTGTAGAAGGAATACTTGTATTTGAAGGTAATATACTTTTCGGTTCAAATTTATCAACCCAAGTATAGTTTCTAGTATCTAACAGGTAAATTTTGTTTGACCGAGAAACTTTTGTTAATCCACTTGGATGAGTAAGACGACCTATATAATTCAATAAATTATTTCACTTATTAGATAAGTTAAAATAGAATATTAAATAATACGTATAAGGTTACTTGCCAAAAGCAGCAATCATATAATTTTCAACTAAATTTGCTGAATGATAAGTAAGTGATGGAAATTCGCCAATATTTGATGATAATTGCGGTACGGTCCATTCAAATGCAGTCGTTCGAGTATTTAAAACAGCCAGGTCTGGTGTAGCTTTAATAGATTTACTAATATCACCTTTCATCCCACCATTTATAATTATTCTTCCATCTTGAACTACAAAATTAATAGTATGATGTTATTATTGTTAAACATAATTACAACATAATAATGAGATATACCTAATATGGCTGAATGTCCGAGACGGGATTCAATTTGTCCAATACTTCTTGCTCGCTTAAATAAATTTTTAGTTTTTAATTAATTGTTTATACAAAAGTATTATAATAAACTTAAGTACTTACTATTACTGACCAGGTGTTAAGTTTTGTATCATAAAGGTCAATTTGGTTAATATCTACTTCACGCCCAATATTATTAGTAATAATTTCCCATCCTCCAATATATACAATCATACCATTTGTTAATATTGTTGCCGTATATGCATTTCGTTTGAAAGGAGAATTTTCAACAGTACCATACCACGTTAAATATTTAGTACTTATTATTATCATATCATTATAAAATTTTCCTAAAAAAGTTCCACCAAAAACAAAAATATTTCCATCATTATCAGTTACGGCTTGGATAGCTCTTCTTCTCGTAGGCTCTGTTCCTGCAATTATGGGTACACTCCATTGACCGGATTTTGAATTAAATGTATGTACTAGTGATGTATTAAATTCTATACCATTTTGATCGTACGTTAATCCTGCTATAAGGTATATGATATTATCATTTATTGCAACAGTAGTCGCCCAACAACTTCCAAAATCTATTCCCGAATTTAATGTAAGGTCGGTCCATGATGGGAGCCCCGTATCAAATTGTTGAGACACATCAAGATAGAATACTTCATTAGTACAAGCACTTTCATTTTTTCCACCAAAAAAATATAGCTTATTTCCAACAAGGACAGATGAATGACCATGACGTACTCCAGGAGTAAATGACTCAACACTAAGGAACGAATGAATTAATATGAAAATGAAACATAACTTTAGTAAATTATTAGTCATAATTCAATTTATAAAGTAATTTACTTTAAAAAAAAAAAAAAAAATTTTTTAATTTATTATTATATGCCTTTATATTTACCTTACACCGCATTTTATGCGCCCGATAGATTTTTTTTCAAGATGATGTAAAATGCAAATCTTTAAATACAAAATGCAGGGGCACAACAAATGAAGTGCAACATGATTTTGCCTGCATTTTGGGACACCAAAATTTTCGTACTTTTGATAATAATTGCAATAAACCCAATGTCGAAAAATTTTTAAAATGTTATAACTAAATGAAAAAAAAAAAATTTTTACTGCGGAAGCATTCCGCTACATATTGATATGCAAAACGTTTTAAATTAACCCATCAAATTTTGACGATCATTGATAAAAAATTAATTTTCAAAAATGGTGGTCTTATAATATAGACCATATTCCATATTTAATAAACGAAAAATGCGAAAAGTTTTTAAAACGGCAAGCAACAAAAAAAAAAGTTAATTTTACGCCCCATAATTTTCTAGAAGGTTATACCTGTGGGCATATGACTAATAATGACGATCAGTTAGATTTAGGCTAAATCTGGCCGATCGTCATTACGAATTGAGCAATAACGATATTATTGTTTGATTTTATGAAATATAATCCCATAATAGATGAAGAAACAAAATATGAATCTTGTCAGATTAAGCATCAGATTTATTAGGAACACTTAACCACTATAAAGTATTGCTGTATGAATAAAATTGATAATCTAAAGAAATATTTGTTATTTTTTTTTATATGCCATATGCCCTATTTTTAAATTCATTTCATAAACTCGAGATGCAGACAATTCATAAAATATGTATGTTGTTTTAGTTAAGTCAATTGATCATTATTTATTATTATTATTTTTTAAATACAAATATATCAATGTTATTTTAATTTGGTAATTTCAAATTTTTATTTGAGAACTTCTGGATATGAAAATACAAACTATATAAAATAAAAAGTTGCATATCTGTGTATTATACATGCGGCATTACCACTAAATAAATGCATAATTTGTTTTCGCAATACAAATTTTTTCAAAACAAAAAGGAACCACAGAAAAATTTTAAAGTTTTGTTACTTTGGCTTCGCCATCACTCGGATAAATTTTCTTTTTCATTTCGTTAATGAGTAAATTATCCGAAAAAATAAATGATGAGTGAATCTTTTTTTCCTCCCGTTTAACTAGCTCAAAACTGGTT